CTTCGTATATCGGTCGATTTAAACCACTAGTCGATGGTTGTGGATTTTCCTCTACAAGTAAAAATGTAAAAATTATACCCGATCAATTAATATAGTAATACAGTCTGCTTACCACTCATAGTGGGTGGCGTACATTCCGTGATTGTATCAGTATTGAAAAGTACTTCGTCCCCAAGTGTATAATCATGCATTTGCCTTATCAATATGTATAACTAAATTTTTAGTGACTGAAAGTAAACAAAAGCAATAATTTTAAGGTATACTCACGGCAACAGCGCACAATATTTTTTGCTAATGGATGATTACGATCGACAAATTTTTGAACAGCTTTTACAACAGTTTCGTCAACGACTGTATTATTAAAAAGACCACGTTTAAACACGTTACTCACGGTTTTTATTCGACAATGTGAGACAAAAAAATACAATTTTTTTAATTAACATATTGATCGATAATGATTGAAAATTACTACTCCAGGCGCTACCACACATAGTACGAATGTGTGGTTCGCGATCGAGTGCAACGCGTAGCAAGCATCTAAGCAAGCTTATCAAATGAGCTTTTGTAATAGTTTCCATTGTTAATGTTGAAACGATACTGAGGGCTAAGCGTCTTTCTTCTGCCATTAATATTTTTGCAAGAAATTGTGATTGGTCGACTTTTTCCCCCGTGAGTCGTTGCTTTACTTTAAGGAATGATCTGACTCTTGTATATAATAAACCAATCTCTTCGTTTTAAAAATTATAAAACAAAAGTAATCCTATATCACATAATAATCAGCCGCCTCCTTATTTTTTTTTAAGAATGCGCTAATTATTTTGTATAAAGCATCCATCACCTTGATTTCTCAAGAATTTGAGAAGATCAGTTATAAGACAATCGTTACCTTATATTACATAGTGGATATTCGACGTCTTACTTTCAGGAATGTGCTGACTTTGGTACATGGAGTATCATTCTTCGCATGTAATAGCATATCTATAATATTACATCGCATCGCTCTCCGCATCACTAAGATTTCGTTTGTCTCTCTCTTTCTCTCTCTCTCTCTCTCTCTCTCTCTTTCCACGACGTTTAGATTTCGCATGCTCTCCCCTCCACTCGACAGTTTTTCATACTCCCACCTCACAAATACTTACATGCAACACTTTGGCTTCGTCAAAGCAAACCCTTACCCGAGTGGTGGGGGTTTGTTTTGACGGGCCAAAGTGTTGCAACAACTACTAACATAAACTGAGTAACCATTGAATAACTTAAAATAAAAATCTCATAAGCACTTGGTCGTTTATTGAAAAGTAAATGAACACTATTTCAAATTTGATACACCGGTTCCAGTTTAAACGTCACATTGACGCTCACCTCACGAAATGCCACGTTTTGCACCCAATTCAACACTCTCTTATCTCTGGTGTATTGCATTAACCCGAACTAAAACAAAAAGAAGAATACCTCCATCAACAATTTTTTTTTCTCACAAACAATATACTAATACACTTTTAGTACTAACTAAAACGGTACTTTTTTGTCAATACGTTTTTTAAATATATTTTATCAACCAGTTTGGAAGACTGCACGAGTAGAACTAAAAAAAAAAGTTTTGTTCTTTATGCTCACCTTACAAAACTGCTCATCAGCAAAAATTTGAGCAAGTTGGCCACAAAATAAGTGTATGTGGAATGCAACTTGCTTTCTTTTACCCTTGCAATTCACTAAATGAGAAATTATTTTTATGCAATCTTATAGCATTAACAGCCAAGTTTTGCCAATACAATTAACCCATATTTGTTACTACAATGTGATCTTCGTTAAAAATGTATGTCTGTTCATAAATTCACAGTATATGACTGATTAGAAATTAAATCAATAATAGATCAAACCATAACAACCTTAATAACAATTTTGTAAGGAAAGAACTTCAGTAACTAAATTATAAGTAAATAAATTTCAATTAATTGGTTTCCATAACTGAAATTCTTTCCACAACAGTTGAATGTAAGCAATCTCGAAAATTTATTACCAATAACAATCCAAAATTTTCTTTGTTAATCCATACGTACAACAATCTATACAAATAATCAAATAAAATTTGGTAAAATTTTTTTTTTTCATGTACATTTATCGCTAAAGTAATATTTTTTCATTGTATTTTATAAAACATATAAGTATAAAACGAATCATACGAGCATACGAGACCATCAACGGAAGATTTCATGTTGAAAATGTGTTTCCAACCACTGATTTTCAACAACAATAAGTTCAGCACAAGTGCGATGTAAAGTCACAACTCTAATTTCGTCACAACGAAAATCTACAGTGAAAACAATGTCTAATAGTTCGCAAAAAGCTTTTCAAACGTGTGAAACATCAATGACGAGAAGCTTAAAGAGTTATAACACAATTTTACGCAGGATTAACACTGCAATACCTCCTCTCACTTTATTTCAATGAAGCATTACGAATCCCACAAAAATGTCGCATAAAACATCAACACCATTAGAATACTTTGTAAGATGCAAACCATTCACGTCTACTGCATAACACTACCAATTAGAACTGCAATCAAGAGGAAAGTAACCCACAACTCTCTAATGACTTTAATCAACACGCCCAGCGACCAATTCGTCGCAATTCGCTTCAGACAATATATACGTCAACCTTATGATATACTCCAGTTACAGTATAGGCACACCGCTATACCACGTAATGCCTTGAGCAAAGAGAAGAAAAAAAAAAAAAGCTGACCAACAACTTCAAATCACCTTACTCATAAATCACGATACAGTAAAGCACGAACATCATTCCTAATGAGCTCAGCAAAAATCGTGACCATTAAGCTGCCATTTCTAAATTGCAAACTATTCGACGATCATTACCGTAGCACAACATTACCTACAATTAATTCAACACGGAAACTTGCAACAGCAACACATCAAAAAATAATAAATAATAATTTATAATATAAACTGTATTGATTCGTATGTTAAACATAATTTTTATATCTAATTCTTTTAATTTAAAACTATATATAACTAGGAATATGTATATAATGAATATGTTGTATTTTAAGTATTTGACATGGGTTCGATTGTTTTCGCTCTTATTATTGCCGAGGGCGGCAATCAGCTAAGGAGGAGCGTGTGACATCCCATGTCATGTACTTAATATTTGTTACTTCGAAACACAGGGTGTCGTTTTTTAATTATAAAAGCAAAAGCTCAGCGATCTCCAATCATCGAGTGGTACACCTGCTTCTGCAATCGTAAGACAAATAACTTACTTCTTATGAAACAAGCTACCATCGCAAAACTCGAACTACGCGTGCAACCTCCAACAATCTTACAAAGCGCTTATCTTACAACATCAATTCGCAGTGGTACATCCAAGACTGTGAATAATCAACAATTTTAATATTCTTTGCTGCATATGTCCACAAAAAATGTTATATACAATTTCGTCAGCAACTTGTACTTAATGTAAAATCCAAGAGATCAGCAGATTTAACCATCAATTACTGTGAAATTATTGCACCACAACTCTGCTCGTGTCAATCGAGAGTTATTAGGTTAAGCTCTGATTGGTCGTTCAGATCCCCAACCCGAAGCGTCCTCCTTAAGTGCAAGAGTATAAAAACTTCTCGTACATAACAATATTCACCTTTTCTCTTTCATCAAGTGCTCCAAAGTAACTGTAGAGGTAAGAGAGTGAGTTCTGTTGCGTCTTAAAAGCAGATGTAAGACTTAGTTTGGTGATTAAGCTACGTGTTAGAACCGTGACTTTCGAGCAAATGTAAGATTTAGTTCGGTGACTAAGCTGTGTGAGAAAAGCTCGAGCAAACCAGACCACTATAAACTCACCTAAAAAGTGAATCAAGGAGGAACAAGAAAGAAAGGACCGTCAACTTGGATTCTGACGTTAAAAGCAGCAGTCTAGTTATTGTCATCGCCACGAGTACTCTCGTGTAGGATTAGGATGATCGTTGCGATCAACCTTGTAAGATCTTGCGACTGCGAGCGCGCAAGCAGCGGCTAACCAACGATCATAGAAGTAAGTAAAGTCAAGAAAACTGTAAATTGTATAAACATTGTAAATGCGAATCTAAACTTAATAATTCATATTATTTGTAAAATTAACTATTTCCGGCTTTTCTAAATTTATTAAATTATCTAATAACACATAATTTATCCCAATTGGCCCAGTAGTTTCCTCGCAAAGTGCAAAAAATCTCGTTTTTTAAGCCAATAATCAAAACTTAATAACTCTCTTTCGCATAAACNATATTCTCAAAGCGTTTTAAACTTTTATTTTATTGTATTTTACGCCTTGTTTTTAAACTCTATTTTGGACTCTCTGAAGCTACGAAAAAGTATATCTATAAATGAATGTTCACGTTTACCGTTCATAATATATAGATATACTTTAGAGGACCTAAAACAGAGCTGAAAAACAAGGGGTTACAATAAAATAATAGTCTAAAACACTTCTGGAATTTATTCAAGGATTTTTATAGATTGTTATACAATTGTATTGTTGGTTTATCATGTTTTTTATGGATAAAAATAGCCATTTTCGCATTTTTTCGAACTTTAATAATTAATATCTCAAAAAGTATTAATTTTAGAGAAAAGTTGCAAGAGACTTTTTTGTTTATAGTCGAAAGATTATGCAAAAAAACCAAGTATAAATATTTTCTACGAGAGATGCAAAGTTATTCGACCTTCTATTAATTATTTTTATGGAGAATGTCATATTATGAGTGATATGGTTTGACAAATTTTGCAAGGCTTGATTCACAATCGAATATTAATAATAATTTAGGATCAAGTACTATTTTCACATAGAAATGTTGGAGGTCTTCTAACTTACTAGACCTACAGGTTTTTTACAGTAACGAAAAAAAAAAGAAAAAAAATTTGCACATTGATTAATACGATTGATGAGTAAAGAACTAAAAAATAATATATTAAACCATTAATGAAAATTCAAGTAAAAGAGAAGCTCACCTATCAATATCCCGACTTCTGAGTTCTTCGATTCGCTTACGCCTCTCCTCATCACGTTGATTGCGAAAGCGCTGAGCAGCAAGAGCCTGCTGGCGTAGCTCTTCAAGTTTGCGCACGCGCTCTTCGCTCTGACGCTCTCGCACCAGCTTCGCTCTGTCTATTTCCTTATTCATCACATTTCCACCATAAACTGATTCTTTATCTGTAATACGCCATGGAGTATTATTTTAATTACAGTTGTCAAAGGAGTATTCAACAAAATAATTTGCACAAACCCAACTTATTATAAAGGTATTTATTCAACACACTCGTATAAGTTTTATAATAGCAAATTTCGTACGATGAGAGTACGTGATTCCCATTTGACAGCTGAATACATGCAGGTATAAGCTTTCAATTTTTTTCACCATTAAGTTTTTGATTGTTCAACGATTTTATCGTATGTTTATAAAAAAATTTTTTAGCAAGTACTACTGCAAAATTTGAAATATTTTAAGGAATTGTGTTTGAATTTATATCAAATTTATGAGATTCATTTGGCTCCAGCTGAACTTTTAAAGGATTATTTGTAAAATTAACTATTTCCGGCTTTTCTAAATTTATTAAATTATCTAATAACACATAATTTATCCCAATTGGCCCAGTAGTTTCCTCGCAAAGTGCAAAAAATCTCGTTTTTTAAGCCAATAATCAAAACTTAATAACTCTCTTTCGCATAAACATTAAGAGCTAAAATTTAGCAGAGTTGTAGCTTTAGTAGTCTTTAACAACCACACCGAATTTCAGTAAGATCGGATCGATACTTTTCGCAAACCGCAGCTAAATGCAAAAAAAGGTACTTTGGCAAAGGGGCCTAAAAAAAGTTGTTTACAACGTTAGATGCAATTTTTTTGGAAAATTGTATTGTTTAATACTCAATCTACAATTTACCAAAGTATCAAATTTTTTTATAGGGTGGAAATTGGTTATATTGTTATTTTTAAGAGCACTTGCAGTTTAACTGTACGGTGGCTCATTGCCCCTCACGAGCCGTACTGCCGTGGGCAAAAAATACCCATTAGGTTTATCATTTTTAAGCAACTTCCACGTAGAAAAAAAATTGTATACTTTTGTAAATTGTAGAGTAAATGTTGAAAAATATGATCCAGCAAAAAAATAGCATCTAAAGTTGTAAACAACTTTTTTAGGCCCTTTTGCCAAAGTACCTTTTTTTGCATTTAGCTGCGGTTTGCAAAAACTGTTGATCTGATCTTGCTGAAATACGTTGTTGTGGTGCGATGGTGTGGTTGTTTAAGACCACTAAAGCTACAACTCTGCAAAATTTTAGCTCCTAATGTTTATATGAAAGAAAGTTATTAACTTTTGATTATTGGCTTGAAAAACGATATTTTATGCATTTTGCGAGGAAACTACTGGGCCAATTGGGATCGACCGGAGCTTATTTTGTTGATCTTTTTGCCACGCATACTTCTACATTTTTTATTTTTTATTTAAAGCTTTATTACTCATTTCCGACGCTAAAAACCGTGTTTTATCATTTTTACCATTTTTTTTGAAGCCATAGCGAAAAATATTTTTTGTTCAATTTTATTACAATCAATTGGCATTGTTTAGTTCTCGACAAGGTATTTTTTTCAAGCTAGTCTGAATTTCCATTGCCGAAAACTTAATTCGATCCCACTAATCACGACAACGCCACGACGCGTTGGCAGTCGATCTTTGTGTCTACTGGTGACTCGGTTGAATGATTTTTATTAATAGTTTTATTTTACGATAAAATAAAACTAAGTAATATTGTAAATGTTACACAATATTTTGTTATTAATTGTATTACCACAAAAGCATCTTGGAGGATTTGTGGACACTTTATTAGACCTTTCTTTATAATATAGTTTTGTTTCACCAAAGAATTACAGCACTTTACCATCGTAATTTCATCATAATAAACTGAATATATTAGCTCACTGTAATAACCAATAACCACAAAAAAATTTAGTCATTATAAATATTGTAATTGTTACCTACAGCGTATGAAAAATAAACTAATTAATGATAAATTTATTATGTATACCTGAGTTCTAAAGTTAAAGGCACGCACGGCATTCAAATATTGCTTTGCACATTACAATTTGTAAAAAAAACACTTTATTTTACAATGTTTATCGAAGTAAAAAAACCTGATAGTTCGACCTGCATGGTCAAAAAAAATTAAAAATTTAAAGATCACGCTATAAACACATTTTCAATTTTGCTTTGCGTTTTTCAAGGTTATGGTTGGATAAATCTTGAAAATAATGAAAGCTATTCGAAAGATCTGGACAAAAAGTTATTAAAGCAATACATATTTTTATTATTTTTTTGTTTATGTTTTGAAGCCGTAATAGCGCGGTAAAAATATCGTCTTTAGCACTTGAGCGGGCTGCCAGCGGTGGCGCTGGGGCAGTTTAGGTGAATCTCTCTATATTGCAAATTAATTTTCGAAGTTAACAGTTGCAGCATTGTTAGTGGCTCACTCGCTTACCAGCTGCGATGCAAAAATGGCTATTTTCATTCAAATAATATAAAAACCAATGAGATTTATGTTGTTAAAGTTCTTAAATATTCTATAAACATCCTTGGACATATTCTCAAAGCGTTTTAAACTTTTATTTTATTGTATTTTACATGGGTTCGATTGTTTTCGCTCTTATTATTGCCGAGGGCGGCAATCAGCTAAGGAGGAGCGTGTGACATCCCATGTCATGTACTTAATATTTGTTACTTCGAAACACAGGGTGTCGTTTTTTAATTATAAAAGCAAAAGCTCAGCGATCTCCAATCATCGAGTGGTACACCTGCTTCTGCAANCAAAGCGTTTTAAACTTTTATTTTATTGTATTTTACGCCTTGTTTTTAAACTCTATTTTGGACTCTCTGAAGCTACGAAAAAGTATATCTATAAATGAATGTTCACGTTTACCGTTCATAATATATAGATATACTTTAGAGGACCTAAAACAGAGCTGAAAAACAAGGGGTTACAATAAAATAATAGTCTAAAACACTTCTGGAATTTATTCAAGGATTTTTATAGATTGTTATACAATTGTATTGTTGGTTTATCATGTTTTTTATGGATAAAAATAGCCATTTTCGCATTTTTTCGAACTTTAATAATTAATATCTCAAAAAGTATTAATTTTAGAGAAAAGTTGCAAGAGACTTTTTTGTTTATAGTCGAAAGATTATGCAAAAAAACCAAGTATAAATATTTTCTACGAGAGATGCAAAGTTATTCGACCTTCTATTAATTATTTTTATGGAGAATGTCATATTATGAGTGATATGGTTTGACAAATTTTGCAAGGCTTGATTCACAATCGAATATTAATAATAATTTAGGATCAAGTACTATTTTCACATAGAAATGTTGGAGGTCTTCTAACTTACTAGACCTACAGGTTTTTTACAGTAACGAAAAAAAAAAGAAAAAAAATTTGCACATTGATTAATACGATTGATGAGTAAAGAACTAAAAAATAATATATTAAACCATTAATGAAAATTCAAGTAAAAGAGAAGCTCACCTATCAATATCCCGACTTCTGAGTTCTTCGATTCGCTTACGCCTCTCCTCATCACGTTGATTGCGAAAGCGCTGAGCAGCAAGAGCCTGCTGGCGTAGCTCTTCAAGTTTGCGCACGCGCTCTTCGCTCTGACGCTCTCGCACCAGCTTCGCTCTGTCTATTTCCTTATTCATCACATTTCCACCATAAACTGATTCTTTATCTGTAATACGCCATGGAGTATTATTTTAATTACAGTTGTCAAAGGAGTATTCAACAAAATAATTTGCACAAACCCAACTTATTATAAAGGTATTTATTCAACACACTCGTATAAGTTTTATAATAGCAAATTTCGTACGATGAGAGTACGTGATTCCCATTTGACAGCTGAATACATGCAGGTATAAGCTTTCAATTTTTTTCACCATTAAGTTTTTGATTGTTCAACGATTTTATCGTATGTTTATAAAAAAATTTTTTAGCAAGTACTACTGCAAAATTTGAAATATTTTAAGGAATTGTGTTTGAATTTATATCAAATTTATGAGATTCATTTGGCTCCAGCTGAACTTTTAAAGGATTTTGTTTCATGTCTGTCTGAAAAAGTAACCCAGAATCAGAGAAATGAATACCTAACTTACAAAATTGGTACTGCAACATAAGTCTTGCGTGAGACAGATTTTCTCACAAAACTAACACCAGACAAAGTTTAAAGAACGAGACGCTCGAATTTTTTTTTTTTTTTTTTTTTTCAATCTTGATTATTTTCAAGATTTCAGCACCCCCCGAGCAAATTATCATTTGCATGTCCGCAATCAAGTCCACCTTCCCCCCACCCTCACCTTCATAACGATACAGAATCTGTAACTTTCAGACTGGGACAACACTACAACAGCTACTGTAGACCTGACAATATTCTGTAGTAAAATAGATGACTCACAGTATAGTTTAGAGACATGTAGCCTTTTAAATTGGAAAGAGCCAATCAAAGCTTTTTTTTAATTTATTTTTGCTTGATAAAAAATATTTTTGTAGTGGGTCGTGGTTTCAGTAGTCAATTTTTTGCTCTTAATAAATTTTATAAATAAATAGAAATTTGAGATTCTTCTATGAAAAAAAATGTTTTATTTTTCAAATATTGATAGCTTGCTATAGAAAGCCAGATGAACTACTTTCAACTCTAAACTTTCTATACTGAAGCTTTCATATAGTATTTAAAATATGTCAAGACTAATAGACTCTATTCTGTTATTTTGATTTAGCAAGCTTGATAGTCTGTGTTCAAATGGTAAATACAACACAGAGCACACTCTGGCATTAAACGTTTCTCTTTCAAACAGCCCCACCAAGATTTTAATCATGTATTAACGCTTGCTGAACAAGATTCTTAATAAAAGACTCTCGTTTGAGTGTTCAATAATTTGTTGTTAACAATTTTATACATTAAATTTTTTTTGCATTTTCTTTAATCTATTGATTTATTGTAAATAGAAATTTTTATTTAACTTTCTGTTCTATCTTTTATTTTACAGCCATTCTGACTAGCAGTGCGTATAACGGGTCTACATGGGGACATCTTATTTTACATGGCTCTTAAACTATCGGACCATAGTTAGAAAAACGCATTTAAGATAGTAATTTCCCAGAAGTGCGAGCCAAGTGAGTAAAGGCCGAGTCTCAAACTCATTATCATGTGTTACCAAGCCCCCAAGCTACAAGAACCGCGGTCTAGACAACTGTGCTACCGTAGCCTCTTTTATAAAAAATATACTTTTCCCATTCAAAAGTCTTGACCTATAAAAAATACATTTTTC